ATCGTTCGTGGCAACAAACATAGATTCAAGCTCAAGCTCAAAGGCCCTTGAATTTATTTACTATTGAAAAGAAGAATCAGAGGATTCATAGAGATTGTACACTCAAATATTCGAAATAAAATACTACGATTGTAGCGATATTTTTCGGTCTTGATTTTATTTTCTCGACGCAATTTATTGTCTACAAATTCTGCATTTGTAGACATCGAAATTTTAATGGATCAAGCTAAATCCTAAATTCAAGATACTACAAGACCTCTTGAAACTCTAGGAGTCTGTTAGTGTTACTTGGAGGCTACTCGACCAAAACCCTAGGTCACTCCTATAAAAAGGGTTTCATAATCCTTTAAAAATATCTCAAAAATGGAGATCAACTCGAAAATTCCATAAACTCACGGGATATTCACAAAGAGATCAAGAAGTGGCCGGATAATTCTTGATAATCAAATTCTTCAAGAAGATCAACAACATACTTCATGGATATCAAATAAATTCATGAAAGCCCGCACCATCCTACGTTCGAGAAACACGTTGTTCTAGCCCTCGAATCACAGAGATAATCAGGAGAGAAGAATCAAGGGGATAAACAGAATTGTACCCGCGTCTTTTTATGAATAAAATTGTGTTTCTTCATATTTATATTGTGGTTGCAATTTATTTTTGTATCACATATAATTTGTTGCAAACACTAACTACATGAAAAAAAATTAAGCATTTCTTCTATTTTATTTTTTTTTGATACCATTCTTGCCAGTGTCATTGGATCCTAAAAATAGTCAGGAAGCAAAATAATAACTCATATTTATGGCAAAACAATCAAATGTTGAGACAATGAATGACTCTTTGGATAAGACTTAACTCTTTTACTACTACGTGTACTCTTATTTGGTGTGTTGATATCTCTTTAAAAAAATTCTTTCTTAAAATATTAGTTTCTAAAACATTATTTTTCAATAATAATTATTTTTATAATAATGTAATTGAAAATATTATTCTTAATTCAAAACTCATTTTAGTTGGCTATCCAAAAAATATAAAAAATTCTTTAGCTAGTGAATTTTTTTTACTCCATTTTGATATTTGACATTAACCATGTTAAATATCTGAGTTATTTAAATGATATGTAAATAACTGTAACGACTCGATCGGTCGTTTTGAGCTTTTGCACTTCGCTCGCCAGTTCTCGAGCACGACTTGCCCCGTGTGATATATCATGACTTATGTGAATCGTTGGTTTTGGTTTTCAGGGTAATCAGAATGAATTTGGAAGAACAGTTCTCTGTTTGAAGCTTAAAATTTGAAAGGTTTGACCAAGTTTTGACTTGTTAGTAGGTGACCTCGGATTGGAATTTTTATAATTTGGTTAGTTCCGTTAGGTGATTTGGGACTTAGGAGCGTGATCGGAATGTGTTTTGGAGGTCCGGAGTAGATTTAGGCTTGAATTGGCGAAATTGAGATTTTGGCGTTTTTCGGTTGATAGGTGAGATATTTAAGTAGGGGTCGGAATGGAATTCCGGAAGTTGCAATAGTTCCGCGGTGTCATTTGGGATGTGTGTGCAAAATTTCAGGTCATTCGGACGTGGTTTGGCTGGGTTTTTTATCAAAAGCGAAATTTGGAAGTTTTTGAAATTCTTAGGCTTGAATTCGATGATGATTTGGTGTTTTGATGTTGTTTTGAGTGTTCCGAAGGTTGGAACAAGTTTGAAAGATGTTATGGGATATGTTGGCATATTTGGTTGAGGTCCCGAGGGCCTCGGGGGAGTTTCGGGTGGTTAAACGGATCAAGTTCATGTTTGAAAAGTTGCAGATTTTCAGGTTTCAGTTGCAGGAATTTTTGTTCATCGCGATCGCGTACGAGTGTTCGCGATTGCGTAGGCTCAATTGGGCAGGGTGAAGAATTGTTCTATGCGATCGCAGAAGTAAGGTCGCGATCGCGGTCAGTGGAGAGATTGTGATTTGCGAACGCGTGGGCCAGGCTGCGTTCTCGTAGAAGAAAATAAGGTGACAGAGGAATCAGGTGTTACCCTTCGCGTTCGCGTAGGAGCAAGCGCGATCGCGTTGCTCAGGGGAATCAATGTATCGCGTTCGCGTTTTGATTAATGCGGTCGCATAGAGTAATATATTGAGGCAGCAAAAATGTTCTTCGCGATCGCCTGGATGTTTCCGCGATCGCAATTAAGGAATTTTAAGTGCTGGGCAGAATGTTTTAAAGAGCTCATTTTCGCGATTTTGAGGCTAAGTTCCTCCATTTTTGGGCGATTTTGAAGCTTCGTGAAGGGAATTGAAGAGAGAATCAAGGGGGAACACTTGGAGGTAAGATTTATGGACTTTATACTTGATTCTTATGTGAATTCTACCTAATTAATCATGGAATATAAGCCTAGTATTGAAGAACTAGGGCTTGTAATTAGGGACCTAGAATTTGGGATTTGAGGGGCCATTTGAGGTTCGAATTTTAATGTTCTTGATATGTATAGACTCGCGAGAGGATGAGGATTTCATAGAGGTTAATTTTGTCGTATTCCGAGACGTGGGCCCGGGGGGCGGGTTTGAGCAATTTCGGGATCTTTGATGTAAATGGGATATTTTCGAGTGGGCTTTGTTCCCTTAGCATATTTTAATGGTTATGAACTGATTGTGGCTAGATTTGGAGCATCCGGAGGTCGGTTTGTGAGGGCAAAGGCATCGCGGGCTAGAGTTTGGACCGGATCGAGGTGAGTAATAATTTTAAATGTTGTCCTAAGGGTATGAAACCCCGGATTGCACATCATGGTGCTATATTGAGGTAACGCACATGCTAGATGACGAGCGTGGGGTCGTGCACTGTTGGGAATTGTGACTTAGTCCATCCCGAATGACTGTTTTACCGCGTATTTGATTGCAAATTGTTTGATATTATCATGTTTTGGGCTAAATGCCATATTTGGGCTTCGTGCCAACTGTTTGGACCCTTAGGGGATATTTACTGCTATTTTCCTCACTGTTTTGACTCTATACTTGTACTCAGTCATGTTATATTTTACTGTTTTCACAAGTCAGCCATGTTTACCCTGCTTTAAAAACTTTAAATGATATTTTAAAAGATATTTTGAGCTGAGCATCGTGTTTTACTGTTGCCCGGGGGGCTTATGAGATTCTGACCGAGTAAGGTCGAGGGCCGGTATTGTGAGAATACTTTTGGGTCGGGCTGCACGCCGCAACGGTGATATACTGATTATGATAATGAGGTCGAGGGCCTGAGATTGTACGCCACGAGGTGGCTTGTGATTGATATGAGGCCGAGAACCTGTTGATGATGCCACGAGATGGCTTGATATTGCGCTTGGGCCGTAAGGGGCCCCTCCAGGAGTCTATACACCCCCAATGAGCGCGGGTACCCAGTGTGATGATTCTGTTTATTATGTGAGGTCGAGGGCCGGATTGATTATTCCACTAGATGGCTTGTTATTGCGCTTGGGCTGTAAGGGGTCCCTCCCGGAGTCTGTACACCCCCAATGAGCGCGGGTACCCATTGTGATATGAGATATAGCCCGAGGGGCTGGTATTGTTCCATGTGTTTGCCCGAGGGGCTGCTTCTGTTGGTATTGTGCCCGAGGGGATGATTCTGTTGATATTGTGCCCGAGGGGAGGTTCTTTATGTGTTTATATTTTCTAGTCACATGTCATTTACTTGCTTAACTGTTAAAAAGGCATTTTGAAGAAGCTTAAATTGAAAAGTGACTTTACATATTTCACTGATTCACTGCTTATACTGGCTTTTTACTGCTTCGTTATAGCCTGTTGATGTGCCTTTACGTGATTTCTTATTACTCAGTCTGCATTTATTATTATTACTCACTGAGTGGAGTACTCACTTTACTCCATGCACCTTGTGTGCAGATTCAGGTATTTCTGAACCTGGTAGCGGGTATTGGTTGCTCATAGGCAGAGTCATCGGAGTTTAGCAAGGTAGCTGCCCGACGTTCGCAGCACTGCTTTTCTCCATCTTGATTTCATTAGACAGTCTCTAGTGCATTTTAGAATTTCCGTTGTATTTGGACCTTAGTAGATGCTCGTGACCGGTGACACCCTGATGTCGGGCTATGTCTATCCCGCTACTATACTGTTTCACCTTATTTTGGGATTATTATGATGTTAGAGACTTAATTTGTATTGATTTGATTGCTTAAAAATGAACTGGTAGTGTGTCGGCTAGCCTTGTCTTCACGAGAGGCGCCATCACGATCGGGTCTGGGTTTAGGGTCCTGACAATAACCTTAACATTTAAACCTTCTAAATAATTAAAGATAATCGTCAGATATTAATTAAGAAACACTACATGAAAAAAGACTAACATTTTTTCAATTCTCGTAGTGATAATTTTATTTTTGCACTATTCTCATAGGTGTCATTGGAACCTAAAAATAGCCACAAAGTGAAATAATAACTCATATTTATGGGAAAGCACAAAGATTGACACGATATAAATGATTCTTTGATTATGACGTGACTCTTATACTACGACTTGGACTCTTATTTGGTATGATTTTATCTTTCAAAAAATATTTCTATTTTGAAATTTCAATTTCTAAATATATATATATATATATATATATATATATATATATATATATATATATATTATGATAATGATTATCTTTATAATGATGCAAGTGAAGATATTATCCTTAATTTAAAATTCACTTTAATCGGCGATCTAAAATTTTAAATGATTCTTTGGCCGGATTTATTTCAGTATGACTCCGCTTTAAGTTTATCGATAACTCTAGCCCCAGAACATAAATTTTTAATACCCTATATATCCAAAAAAATTGTTCTTTAAATCATTAAAAAAAAATTTGGTTAAAATTTAAAGCTTTATTTAACCAAGTAAAATATTTACAATCCCTAGCTCTTTTGGACACTTGAGCTAGTTTCCTATACATCCTTGTGTAATCTATTAAATGAAAAAAATATCAAACTAACATTCTGTTATCAATACCTAGCTATAAAATTTCTATCTAGCTAGGATAACTATTCAGTTTTTCTAACTCTTTCCTCCATTTATGAATTTGCTGTCCTTGTATATGCAACATTAGGACAATCTCTTTTATCCTTTTGTTATATGTTGTCTCAATTCCTTGAAATCTTATATTGTTCCTTTCCTTCCATATCTGATATACCATTGCTGTAAACAGAAACACTAGTATTTCACCCTTTGTTCTATTCACCACCACTTTTGTTATCCATTCTATTTCCTCATCCCAGCTCCCTATCTGATGTTGCATTTCTATCCAGTTCAGCATTGCATTCCACATATTTCTGGAGCATGTGCACTCGAACAGTAGATGCTCAAATGTTTCCTCATTGCTCCTGCTGCATAGTACACAATCTTTGTCAACTGTTATACCCCATTTTTGTAGTCTTTCAACAGTAGTTAATCTTCTGTGCAGTGCCAACCAAAGAATGAATTGATGTGTTGGTATTGCTTTTGAGGTAGTCACTAATCTCTTCCAGTTGCACTTCTGGTACCGAGGTCTTGCAGCCTTGTACAATTTCTTGATACAGAACTTTCCTCCCTTACAATAAGAATTCAGAGTGTCATTTGGACAGTTCTCCATGAACCACTCGCTTGCCTGAAAAATCTATTAAATTTTAAATTAGTTGATTATTATTATAAAATATTGCATATATTATCTTAAAATTGCCAAGTAGTTTATTTTTCGACACCATACTTGGCTTAACCTCAATGCAAACTACTCAAATTGCATTCCAATTCAAATTCGAATATCATATCAGTTTGTTAGTAATAGTGATTTATTAAAAAAACACATAATGTAAATTAAAAAAAATATTCTAAGATATCCTTATCTTATAATCTATGTATTTGAGTTAAAAAAAAATTGAAATGGATGAGATTAACTTTCAAAAATTTTATACTCAACAATAATGAAACATAAGAAAGAAGAAATTTGTTGTCATCTTTTATTTCCCAAGTTTTGAGATAACGCAGGAGAAACATAAGGGAAAATTTTGAAAACATAAACATACAACTCGCTCTAATTGAAAAAAAAAGTAAAATACTTTTAACTTAATTATTTGAAAACATGATAATACGATTATTTTTAAATATTTAAAACTTTTATATCAACTAAATTTTGATTATTAAATATCTATTTATTTGGATTGTGGTAGAAATTCTAATATTTAAAATTTTAAATAAATTAAGATTTTACCTTAAAAAACTCAACTCGTGTCCTTATTTGAATTATGTAACATATTAATATTTTTCATGTTATTTTTTCTTATATTAGAACTTCAAAATTACTAAATTATATTTATTATTTTGTTGTATGATATTTGAAAAATACACTCAGTAATTCAAATTTTATTGATCATAGAATTAAAAATAATTAATTTTATATAATTTAATTATCTTAATAATAATAATAAAAATCACAGAGAAAGACTTTTTGTGAAAATTATGTTTCATTCTCTGGTTATATACCAATACTACTAAATACTATTATTGCATATTAGTTTCTATAAACGTGCGTTGCACGTTACTTTTCGTCAATTTCAGTCATTGCCAAAAATCTTAGGTAATATTATTTGTAGTTACATTACATTTATTTTAGGAGGCACAAAAGTGTTATTATTGTGTAAGATTGTGCCATACGTTAGGGATTAAGTGACTCATTTACAAATATAAAAGTATTGAAAATTGTTATTAAACATTATTAAATAAGACAATATCTTGTGGCGTAAGAATATTTAATTTTGTGCAATGATATGTATACCAGAACTCCCTTGTGATGACTCGAAAGGTCATCTCGTGTTTTAGAACCCATTTCGGGGTTCCAAAGCCTTCAAAACCTCATTTTATTCCTCCTTGATTTGCGTGCGCGTTCCCGAAAAGCCTTTATATGGAAATATGGGAAAATAATAATGTTTGGCTTAAAAAGTTGATTTTAGTTGACTCCGGTCAACATTCTGAGTAAACAAACCCGGACCCGTATTTTGACGGTCCCGAAGGGTCCGTAGTAAAATATAGGACTTGGGCGTTGCCCAAAATCGAATTGTGAGGCCCCTAGCCTGAGAAATGAATTTTTGATGAAAATTATTAAACTGAAATTATAATGATTTTGAGAAAGTGGTTAGTAGTTGATCTGGTTGGTATCGGGCTCGTGTTCTTGTTCCAGAGCCCAGTACAAGTCCGTTATGATATTTATATCTTATATGTAAAATTTGGTGAGAAACGGGACTGACTTGACGTAGTTCAGGCCTTTGCTTGAAAAGTTATAAGTTTTAAAACTTTTTTGAAGATTTCAAGCAATTTCGTGTTAAATTTGTAGTTTTAGGTGTTATTTTGGCGATTTGGTCGCCCGAGCAAGTTCATATGATGTGTTAAGACTTGTGTGTGTGTTTGGTTTAGAACCACGAGGACTCGGGGGAGTTTCGGGTAGGCTACGGGATGTGTCTAGACTTAGAAAAGACCTTGTGCTGGATAGTTGCAGGAAATTGCAGGTCTCAGATCTTAGAAGCGTGACCGCGGAGTGAAATTCGCAGACCGTGGTAGAAGAATGCGACCGCGGTGGGGACTTCGCGGACCGCGATAGTGTATGGCTCAGGTTTCGCGACCGCACCCATAATATCGCGGACCGCGGTGGGGTTTCGCGACCGCGCCCTGAATTTCGCAGACCGCGTAGTATATATCAGAGAGGTGCTATATAAACAGGAATTTTCATTTATTTTTCAATTTTTCAAACCCTAAAACATAATAGGCAATCTTCCAAACGTTTCTTCTTCCCCTAAATCATAAGTAAGTGACTCTTAACTCATTTCTTTCACTCTTTTACTTCTTTTTACAAGATTTCATCTTAGAATCTAGGGTTTTCAAGGTGGAATTGGGGATTTTGGGGTAGAACTTTAGAATTTCAAAATTTGGGGATTTAGATCTCAAATTGAGGTCGGATTCCAAAACCAATTGTATATCCGGGCTCGGGGCGAATGGGTAATCGAGTTTTGATCTGAATTTCGGGTTTGAATCAAGCGGGCTCGAGTGTGTGACTTTTGTTGACTTTTTCAAAATGACCTAAATTGAAGTCTTTGCTATCATGGGTAGTTCCTAAGGCTTAAATCGAATTTTTTGATTGGTAATTGCTAGATTTTATTGGCCCGGAGGCTGGTGTAAAAGGAAAGGCGTTGATTGAGCTTTGAGTTTGGCCGTGGTAGCGAGGTAAGTGTTGGGTCTAACCCTGGCTTGAGGGGTTAGGTATTACTTGCCTATTTTCTACGTGTCTTGATATTGAGTACAACGTATAGTAAGGTGATAAGTACCTATGTGTTGTTGTCGAGTCATAGCATGCGAGATAGTCTTATTCGTGTAACTGTTGTACTCTTTGATCACATATTTCATGTTTAGACTTTCTATTCCATGTGTTGAGCAGCTCTTATCATGTTTTTACGAAATTTGGTATTGATCGGGTATTTACTAAGAGTTGAGGCTGGTATAGTAGAATTAAATGTTGAAGTAAGATTGGTCCTTGATATTTCTATCTCCCTGTTATTATTGTTCATTGCCTTGGTGAGGGAGAGTGTTAAAGCACGAAGGGTGATGCCGTGCAGTGTTTTGTGAGTGAGTGATAATGCACGAAGGGTGATGTTGTGCCATGTTATGAGAGAGTTAGTGCACGAAGGGTGATGCCGTGCCGTTTCTATTGTTTCTTATGGTGAGGATGAGAGTAAAAGCACGAAAGATGAAGTCGTGCACTTTTTTTCTATGTTATTACTTTCTTTGGTGCAAGGCATATTATTTATTGCGTTTCTTTACTGTATTACTTTTAGGATTTGATATTCTCCTCAACATGTTTTCCACCTTCCCGTTATTATCTGCTTAATCTTCATTGTTGTTATTTTCTCGTATATGATTTAACTGTACAGGTTCATGTTTTTGTCGTGTCCTAGCCTCGTCACTGATTCGCCGAGGTTAGGCTCGGCACTTACTAGTACATGGGGTCGGTTGTACTGATACTGCACTCTGCACTTTCTGTGCAGATTCCGGTACTGGACCGCACTGATCAGAGTTAGGTTGCTGCCTTCAGTCCACAGGAGTCCCAAAGTAGATCTGTCGACGTTCGCAGACCCTGGAGTCCCCTTCCAGTTGTCCTAGTTTCCCTGTTTTCTTTACTTTCGGGAACAACTGTATTTCCTTTAGACCAGTATTTGTAGTGACTCTTAGAAGTTCGTGGATTGTGACACCACATCTTTGGGTAGTCGTGTGTTAGTGTTTAGATTGTTATAAATTTCCGCGCTTCATACTTTATTTTTGGTTTAAATTACTGTTATTTACTGTCTTGGATAGTGCTTAGCGTGTTAGATCTTTATATATTGGCTTGCCTGACATTCTAAAAGTTAGGCGCCATTACGATCCCGACGGTGAGAAATCCGGATCGTGACATCCCTAACGCAACACATATATGTGATATAAATATCTAATCATTAGATGTGATATAGTACAAAATAGCACAGTTAATCGTTAGACAAAATGGTGTTTTTAGTTTATGCGAATCTGTATGTACACGCACTTGCACGTGGTATCCTGTTGAAATCTTTAAATAAGTTGTATCTCAACACAAGAAATTTGTAAATACATGTAACATTTTTTGGACTAATTTCATTCTAACGTACACCATTTCTGGACATTGTGCCCCAGAATATGAGTACCTAGCACTTTCATTCTACATTTCATCTAACTCTACTAACAGTTTGAATATACTAAATTTCTGGATACCAATCTAATGTGCTCATCACTCTAGCCAACTTTGGAAACCTTGTTGCTCTTACATGTATTTCCTGGATAATCAGCCTCAGTATTGCTTTAGGAGTTCTTCTTTTCTTCTGAAACACTGCCCAGTTCCTCTCTTGCCAGCAATAGTAGATTGCTGCTGCCAGCACCATTCGACATATCTCAGCCCTTGCACTTCTTCCCTTAGCCTTCTGCACCATCCACGCGATCACAGTCTGCCAGTTTTGCGACATTATCTGAATGCCTTGCCATTGCAGTAATCCACACCATATTTTGCCTGTTTCCTCGCATTCAAAGAACAAGTGGTTCACTGTTTCATTCTGCTTGTTACACAAGGGGCAGCTAGGATCAACATTAATGCCCCATGTGACGACCCGGCCCGTCGTCACGTGATTTACCGCCCCGTTTTTCCCATATTATATTTCTCTATGCTTCATTATCGGTATTTGAGGTAATCGAGTTGGATTGGTTTGGTCTTGGTAGGAGATGAGACATTTAGTCTCTCTAAGGAAAGCTTGTTCTGGAAAAGTCAACAGGAAGTTGACTAGTTGGTTAGAAGGATTGGATGTGATTTCCGGAGATTCGGTTAGCTTCGGGGGATGATTTGTGACTTAGGAGCGTGATCGGAATTGGTTTTGGAGGTCCGGTGTAGAATTAGGCTTGAATTGGCGAAGTTAGTATTTTGGCGAATTCCGGTTGATAGGTGAGATTTTGATCCGAGGGTCGGAATGGGATTCTGAGAGTTGCTGTAGCTTCGTTAGGAGATTTTGGATATGTGTGCAAAATTTCAGATCATTCGGAGGTGTTTTGGTA